ATTAATTATATTTTACATAGTCCTGCGTAACTATCATTTAGAGAGCTCTTTGTTCTTTATCTAGGACCATACAGCAACTTCTCTTGCCTCTTGCCTTATGGATTATGATGTTCATTATTTCCTATAGGCTACATCTGGAGGTATTAGAATATTTTGAGTTTGTGTAACTAGAAAATATTTCACTTTTAGTCTTCAAAGGTAGCTTTGCTAAGTATAAAATTCAATGAGAACAGATTTTTTTTGCCAGTCCTGTGAATTAATTAGTCTAGTTTCTTGCCCACTTGCTCTTTTTTTTTCTAATGTGGAATAAGATGCCATTTAAGTTTGTTCTTCCATAGCTAATATTTTTATGTATATGTTTTAATGATTTTTTCATTACAATTAGTTTTGGACAATTTCAATTTTGTGTATCCTGGTATGATTTAAATTCATATTTCTTATGCAAAAGGTTCATTTTTCTTAGAAATGTGGTGCTACAATTTCAACTAAATTCAGAAATTTTAAATCTTTAAACATTTATTGCCTACCCTTTTTGACTTTGAGAATTCTAATTATATGAACATAAATTTCTTAATTTGGGCACAGAATGAACTCTTACATGACTGCTCTGCAAATTCTTCTTCATTTTTTATTTTAGATGATTTTTATTGTTATGTTCATTTAAGTTTGCAAATAATTTATTTATAATGTGCAATCTATTATTAATATCATGCTATATATTCATTACAGAAATATTCCTCTAACATTCATTATCTACATCTCATATCTTTCACATTTAAATATTTGTATGCAATTTTTAATATGCTATATAATTGCTGATTTTCAGTAAAGTTAATGAGAAAAAAATGAAAAAGCAAGGTGGAAGATATTCAACCGTGTTTGTCACATTGTACATTGCTGTCTTCAATGTCGTTGCTCAGATTATAGATATTAGCATGTTAAACTGGTCAAAATAAAAATTTTAAACATTAGCTGCTATGTGCAAAAAACTGACAAAAATGAGTAGTACAATCATCTTAGCTATCCTGTCTATATACTTACATGATTCTTAAAAAATCCATTTTAGGCAGTGTCTTGGGTTTCCCAGGCAGACCTTGAAGCAGTGACATCCCCGCCACAGCCTCTGCACGCTAGGCCTACAGTGTGTACCACGGAGCTTGGTCCCCGTTCTGCTTTCCATTTGCAGTTTCTCTTGCTCCCTTTTCCTGGCTGCTAGGCTACCTGCATCTTTCTTGTCATTCTACTTTAACTCACCTATTCATTTTGTCTTGTTTTTACTATATCTCTCTGTGTAACTTACATAGTTATTTCTTTGGGGGTTACAAGAGGTGCATCTAACGTCTCAGTGCAATTATAGTTAACAGTTTGCTATTTCCAGAGAAGAAAATTGGAACTACTCTCATCCTTACCCTTTTCTCTTTATGTTAAAATCATCATATCATTTTAACATAAAATAGGGCCAGCGAGATAGCTCAGCGGACTAATCACCTGCTTTGGCAAGCACAGGGACCAGGATTCAATCCCCAGTCCCACATGCAGTGCCAGCCCCACCTCCAAGGAGCACTGAGCCCAGGACTGAGTCTGGGCATGGTGGTGCACACCTGTAATCTCATTGTTGGGGAGGCTGAAAACAGGAAGATCACTATGAATCTGAGCTGCATAGTGAGATCCTGTACCAAAGACATAAAAAAAAATTTTTTTAAATAGAAAAAAAAATCATCATATTATGGAACCTAAATATATTAAAAGCCACATGGATACAATCCTTGCTTTCAGCAATCATACAAACCTATGGCTCTTACACAGATTGGGATGCCACCCTTCCATTGGGGCAATGCTAATCGCCACTGTGCAGTTCCAGTTTTAGTGTACTTGCTGTGCAAGGAAGCAGCTAATGTGTTTGTGCAGTGCCTTCTTGGGAAGGACTTATCTGAAACTGGCACCAAGTTCACAGGCCTATGCACTAAAATTAAAGTTACAAAGCTAGAATCGACTCTAGCCATTCGAACTTTGCAGTAAATAGTGCAAAATTAAATCTTTTTATCCTGAACCAAGGTGTAATATAAAATTAAAACTAGAAATAAACACTTAAGTAGTTGGTGGCCAAAGTGAATTTTTTCTTTTTCTTTCCTTCCTATTTTCTGTTCTCCTTCTTGCCCTTCCTTCTTTCTTTCCTCCTTCTCTTTTTTTCTCTCTTTCCTTCTTTCATTTTGGCAAGAAGGCTTATACTATCAAAAGTATCAGTTCTATAGGGATGTCCACATGGAGGATATTTTCAAGAAATTATGATTGGAAGGTTTCCCATTTTCCAAAAAGTAGTAGATACTCACAGAGGATTTAATAGTGAAAGTCAGCTATGTCAATTTTGAGATTAAAGAAGAGAAGTCACACCACATGTTGATTAAAGCATAGCTAAGAGTCTTCCAGTTTTCACTTTAAATACATCTCACAGGTGCCTATAATTTTATTTACTCCTGCTATGCTGCTACTAAAAATGCTGTGCATACACCAGCATGGGGAGAGACGAGCCTGCGCCTCATGCCAGGAGGAACTACCTCCTTCTGTTACCTTGGGCTTTCTCTGGAGCATGTCGTCATGGGGTTGGGATGCTGGCTGTGGAGGCGACTGTGATGTAACCCTGAGAACAACAAGGCAGGGAGCACCTAAACTTTGCCTTGACTGAGCTATGTGAACCTGAGGCCGCAAGCAAGCTTGGAGAGCCTTTCTTTGGCAAGCAGGGCCATTTGCGTGTGGAGTCTGTGGGGACACAGGCTGCATGCATGGTGGTCAGGGTGCCTTGTCCTCTTCCCCCGTCAGATGCAGGAGCACTGGGGAATCTTTGTCTCTCCCCATCTCAGTCATGGTGAGCAGAATCTCTCCATGGCCCCTCTGTGCTAGCTTGCCATCAGTATGACTGAATATCTGAGTCAAGTCAACATAGAAAGAGGAAAGGTTTATCTTGGCTCTTGATATTGGAAGCATCCATCAATGACCAATCAGCCCCATTGCTTTGGCCTGTGGTGGCACAGGATGTCAGGGTGGGAGCTGTGATGAGGGAGTCCCATGTACCACATGACCTATAAAAGAGAGGATGGGCTGGGTCCCTAGTCCTCCCAGAGGGAATCCACCAGTGACCAGCTTCCTCCTACCAGGCCTCCTTTCCCACAGGAACCAGCACCTCCAGGAGTGCTGTGGGCTGGGCACCAAGCTCCTAGGGACATTTCAGGTCCAAACTCTAGCACCCTCCATCCGGCTAATCCGTGTGGCAACCCTGATTTTCCTAGCATGTGATGGCACCCTGACCCAGACTTGTAACTCCCTCAGGCCAGGACACCTTCTGTCCCGGAAGTGACCTGCGTGGTGCACTAAGTTTGAGGGCAACACCTGGTGGAGTGATTGAGAGACAGTTTCATCAGCCTGTCTGCAATTGGATCCTCACTACTGCTTACTACTGGGGTGGGTCACTTCAGCACTGTATGCCTCAGTTTCCCCCTGTAATAAAATCAGGGGAATGACACTGCTTGCAAAGATTTAACAACATGAGACCTGCAAGGTGCTTGGCAGTTTTGTCTGGCACATCCTACAGGTTATTATATATTTTTCTTATTAAGCCATTAATTTTTTTCCCATAAAATGATGGAACAAATACAAATTATAAATAAGGCAGAGCACAGACAGAGTTAACTGAAGAGAAGGCAAAGAAAACAGAGAAGGTGACCAGATTCTGATTGCAAAAAGTGAGCAGCTGTCATTAAGAGGCACCAAGAATGGGGAGCGTGTGCCGGTGTCATCGCTTTAGAAACACAGCGCTGTGTATGGCGGACATCCTCACACCCTGGGGCCAGCAATCCCACCCCAGGTGTATTTCAAAGAGGAAAGGGTGGTGGCTCCAAGCAGAGGATATCTGCAGAGAGAAGGCTCATCGGGCAAGTATGTGGTGCTCATAGCCGGATGCCACTGGCACATCCCTGAGCAGAAGGGAGAAATGAATGGGGGCCGTGAAGAAAAATGGGGCACAATGCATCCGCCATCCAGGTCACCAGCAGAGAGGTGACTCTCACCAGGATGGTGGCAGGAGCAACAGTCACAGCACCAAGACAGAGGCAGAGGAGCTGGGCACCCGTTCCAGTGGGGATGCTGCTTATCCTAGAGGAACTGCTCGCTACGTGGGAGGAGCAGGTTGGGGCAGCTCTCTGAAGCGTGAGTCTGTGTTGTGTTCATGTGCGTGGGTTTTCTGCATGTGTGTCATGTGCCCTTGAAGTAACAAAGAGAATAAAAAGGAAAGAATGGCAAGAAAGAGTGGGAAAGAGGGAAGAAGAGAGGGAGAGAGGGAAAGAGAGAGGAAGAGGGGGAAGGGGAGGGAGAGAGGGAGAGACAGAGACAGAGTCAGTTAGAGAGACAGACAGAGACAGAGTGAGACAGAGAGAACAGTCGCTGCTCACTTGCAGGGGGACACCTAATAACCCCTAGTTCACGTCTCTGCCTTCACACCACCTGCCCAGCCCCTCTTTATTCCACTGAGGACTGCAAAGGCCCCCAGTGCGGGTCCTTGTGCCTGTCCTTCCTGCCTGCCTTGGCTCTCACCGCTTCCCCCTGGCTTGGGCTAAGAAGACAGGAAAAGCTTTCCAAGTGGGGAGCTGGTAACACTAAACTTCCCAGTACTCTGGGGCCGAGACAGGATGATCACAAGTTCAAGCCCAGTCACTGGGGCAACTTAGCAACTTAATAAGACCCCGTCTCAGAAAATTAAAATAAATAAATAAATAAATAAAGGGCGGAGGGTGTAGCTCTGTGTCAAAGCTCTGGGTTCATCCCTGAACGGGGAGGGGGTCATTTAAAACTGAAAAGCCGTCTCTCCGGTCTGTTGCTCTACCTCTTCTCCCCTCGTTTAGCACCCCCCCCAAGCCCGCAGGGGGCGGCTCTGTCCCTACCGGACAGTGGCCTAGCAGGTCCCCCCTGACCCCGCCCCCGGCCAAGGCTATTTTGGGCTCGCAGCGCGATCGCTGACAGTCGGGATCCGGTGACACCGCCACCGCCGCCGCCGCAGCCGCCGCTGCAGCACTTGTTGCTCAGGACTTGTTACCGTCGCCGTGTTTGCCCCGCGCTGCCCTCACCTGTGCCCTCCCGTGGGTCCAGGAGTGGATGGTTTAAAACACAGTAGACACACGCCGGGAAGGGGACGGGGTGACGGCATGACGGACACAGAGACGGCCAACGGGGACGACAGGGACCCTGAGATCGAGCTCTTCGTGAAGGTAGGAGGGGACCCGGGTGACCTGCGCGATCCATAGTGCCCCAGCAGAGACCCCAGGTGCCATCAGGAAACACCCCTGGGGTGCCACTGGGACACCCAGGCGGTGCCCCGCGCTCGCCGCCACCGTCTCCTGGAAGGAGGCACGACTAGTAGGTGTCTATCGTCCTGAAGAGGTGGCCGTAGGACTGGTTCCAGACAGTGTCCCCACAGGCCCCTGGGGCAACCCGGGGAGGGTCCAGGAGGGGACTGGTATCAGTATGGTCCTCTTTGGCAAAGCAGAAATATCATTTCTTAACCTCCTTTCTCACTTTCACGCAGAGCCACTAAAATTAAAGCGCAGGGCACATAGGTGCTCTCTGTTGCGAGACTACGGGAGCAGAGATGTACACGGTTAGGACCAGGGTCGCAGGCGTGCCTGTGTCTGCTCAGGAGAGATGGGGTTAGGGATGGGGCCACCCTGAGGCCCTAGAGGCGGCTGCATCCTCACCAGCAGGAAGGGACAGAGGTAGGCCATCCCTGCGGGTGACAGGAGAACATTTGATCAGGCTCCTGCCTCTACAGCCTTGGAAACCTGAGAGCAGGCGGGGCCTAGGGGGAGGGGAGGGGCATAGGCTGGCTGCGCCCAGACCTTTCACCTACACAGAGCCCCTGAAGAAGAGCCTCCTGGACTTGCAGGGAAAGCCCAGAGAAGGGCCCTGGAGTCTTCTGGGCCTCCTGGCTGGATGGAAAAGGCACCTGGGCTCACAGAATCGGGATATGTGGCTTTGCTCAGTGCATCCGGATTTGCAAGCCAGCTCAAAAGATTTTTGCAAAACATTGGAGGTCTCCATTCACCTTGATAATACTGTTTGTCCACCTAAAATCATAGAAAATCGGTTGTGGCTTGTTTTTTATGCTTCCAAAGCTATCCATCGCCTTGTCCCAGTCTACAGACAAGGTTTATTAAATGTTGCCTGCTGGTTTTACAGTCTTTATGTCTGCTTTTCCAAATGACAGCTGTCCTGCGGTGCCAATCATTTGGCTTCTGGATCCCACTGATCAGGATCTGCAGACCCAGGGAATGCAAGAGCTAGTGTCCCTTCCTGGGCTAGTCAGCCTTGGAGGCCACTGGGACACGAAGGGGGTGCCCTGCCTCCACGATCCAGGCCTGGAGCCCAGAGGGTGAATAGGCAGACCTTTCACAAAGCCAGGAGTCTGCAGCTCTCCTTAAGAAAGCTGTTCTAGGGCTTGCTCAGATTCCCTGTGAGTAGGTGGCGTCAAGGTGTCAAGTTCCAGAGGTATTTGAAACACAAATTGGTTCTTTAGAGCCCAGGGAGCCCTTTGCCCTGCTACTAGGGCTGCTAGACTAGGAGACCAACCCTGCCCGCTCCTTTGGAATTTTAGGTTGGCAGCGGGGGAGATTTCCTCCATTTAGATGAAAAGCTTGCTGCCCAGCATCTTTGCCCCCAAAGAATTCTAAAATGCCCGTGTTGCCATTTGCTTTGTTCCCTAAAGGAAAGCAATCCGTGAGAGCCAGGCAGGCCTTCGGGACTGCTCAAAGGCCAGATTTGGGGAGAACAAAAAATATTAACTAGAGAAGCAATTTTGATCCCCCTCCCTCATTTCTTGAGCTTCTGGCTCCTGTTACCCTTTACAGGGCCAAGTAATGGCTGAACGGACTATGAAGTAAAGATGTCATCCTGTCCTGGAACTGTGACATTTTAGGGAAGCGATGTCCTAATTTATACAATCAGTCGTGTACAGGGGTCGGGGCTTCTCTGGGCCATGAGAAAGAAAGAGAGGCCTCCTCGCTAGTGGTGGAGGGTGGCTGAGGTGCTTTCTAGGATGCTTCCCCCACTCCCAGCAAGCCCCACCCAGAGTCTAGATAGGGTTCCTGAAAAAAACCCCAGCTCTGCCAGCCTGCCGGGTTCACCATTCTGTATCACCATCACTCAGGGAGTTCGCAGGGCAACTGGCCTTCTCTCAGGGTTAATGCAGAGCCGCTACCCATTACTCATGCTCCTGGGATGGCAGCGATCAATCGGCAGCACTGGGTTCCCGTGGAGGGACCGCGGTCCTATATTTCATCTCATTTGGACCCCAGCATCCCTGTTGATGAGAGCTGCTTTTCTGGCATGAGAAATGAGCAAAACAGAGCTGACTCATGAGGACCTCCAGGGACAGAGGCTGTCAGAACATCTGGCGAGCTCTCGTTGCCCTGTGGTGATGGCCCTGGAAGGAGAACAGGGTCTTAGATTGAGCCCGTTTTATGTTTGCACAGCAACGTGTGCTCAGAGAGGAGTGGGAACTGCCCCAAGGTAGAGAACAAATAGCATGCATTTCCTCACACTGAATTTCCAGTTCTGAGCTTTCAAGTACCCTTTCGATGACAATGACATGTCATTTACTAATCTGCGAGGATGTTTTCACAGAATGTTGTCAAGGAGACTGCTAAGTGCTGGGCTCATTCTCTTGCTGAGAACATTCTAAGGAAGACTTTGAAGAAATAGTTCCCTGCATTTTTAGTTTCTTCCTCTAGTATAAAAAAGGTTAGCTCAGGAGCAGGCTGATGGCTGTTTGGTCATACCCCACTGCAAGGGCCAGCGTTTGTCTTACTACCTCTGCCTCCAATCAGCAAAACAGCTCTGAACAAATTAACCTGTGTGAGCCTAACTGCCTCTCTCTTAAAACAAGAGAATGGTTAAAAGAAGGTGAGCACATAATTCATTGTTCAAAGCAAGTCTCTTTTGAGTGTCAGGAGATCCCAGGAATACTTCCTCTGGGATAATGCGTTGGGTTGCTGGGAGCAAAGCAGGAGGTGTGGTCACTTTGGCTAAGAAAATACTATCCCTGCAGATTCACTGTAAGACTCCACAGGAATGTATAGGGAGAAACACTTCTGTGAACTGGAAATTATTCAGGACATAGGGCTTCCATCATGATGTGGGTTCCAACGCAGGGTCAGATAAACCTCTTCCAACCTGCATGTTTCTGACTTTGCCCTAGGGAACAAAGGCCTGGCTCTTCAGCAGGGATATTTTGAGACCCAGTGAGATCATACTCAGCTTGGTCTTTGAACATAAAGGGAGGGTAACAGGTTAGAGTGTGTGTCTTGCTTGTGAGTGTGGTTTGTTGAAGGGAAAAACAGCAAGGAAGTAAAAGCAAAACAGAAAGCAGCTTGGGAAGACAAACACAGGATGTGCTGATCGCCTTAGATCCAGATAGTCCTGTTTGAATTGTATGACCACTCTTAGTCCCACCCCTGGGCCCCAGATATTGGAAGACACCCAAGTGAAGTGACCATAGTGGACAAATTCCTTACAAACATCTCCAGGGGAAGGGGGAAGGAACGTGAGTTTCATGAGAAACCAGCATCGGTTCTCCAGCTTGGCTACATGTTTAAATCATTGTGGGAAATGCCAGGCACTCCTCAGCCTGTTGTGTCTCTGCATGTGGGTAGGGCACAGTAGTGACATTTCTGCCCCACCCTGAGGACTCCAGGAACACCTGGATAAAGAGCCTCTGAGACATCATCAGAGGTTGCCTCTGGCAGTAGGACAGCCCCACTAGCCTTGGGACCTTGAGGTCAGGAACATTGTTGATAGAGAGCTGGCTCCCTCGGGATGCAGCTCACAAACACTGGTGACCAGCGAGTGGGTCCTGTTTATGGAGCTCCAGAACAATCCGTGCATGGGTTGGCAGGGAAATAAAAGACTTCCCGAATATCTTCTGCAAATGCCAGTTGTTTCCGTTACTGTGTGACCCAGAAAAGCTCCGACAGTGGTACAGGGCACCAGTCCAAGTCACGGGGACCTGCGGGGTGCCCATCTGACTTCCAGAACACACAGGATCCAGGCTCAACTCCTGGCCATGGCTGCTGGGGGTGGGCGGGGTCACCTCAGGCCGCTCCCTGCCATATGAGCTCATTGGACCGCCTGTGGTGCTTACCCCTCACTGACCCTGTGTGGGCGCTGTGCTCTTCTGTCACCATAGGCAGGTGGGAACGTGCCAACAGTGGCCTATTCATAGCTCCACCTGCTCCAGATGTCTCGAGCTTCTTTTCCAGGGGGCACAGTACAGGAGGGCAGATGACACCTATCCTGGTGCCAAGGCAACAACGGTCTCAGCTCCTGCCTCCCACTGACCTGGGCTGCTCTGGGGTGCTGCTGGCTCTCTCCAGCCAGGGCAGAGATTCAGCCAGTGCAGACAATTGGGTCCAGTGCTTTTCATCCCTTTGAAAGAGTAAAGATATGGAGATGGCTGGTAGGGAGCAGAGATAGGCACAGGAGGGGCGGCAGAGAGCTGAAGCCATGGGAAGTGGGAAAGACATCCTGGCTCCTGAGGGATGGGAACTTTGTGAAAAGTGGCATGGTGGCAACACGTGTTGGACTCTACCTTGCAAGAATGAGTCCTGCTCAGCACTGGCTCCACGGGAAGGGCCACTGGGAAGGTGGATGGAAGTATGTTTGATTTCTGACCAGAGTGTATGGCTGAGTCCTCTAGGATCAAGGTGCCAGCTGATTAAGTGTCTAGCAAGGGCCTGATTTCTGCTGCAGGGGTGGTGCCTGGTGCCTACAAGATGGGACATAGGTCCGCACGTGGTGGGACCCCAGGATTCCGGTCTTCTTGGTTGCCCTATGGCACTGATCCCATCATGCACTCCCTACTCTGCCATCCTCACTGAATCACCTCCCCAAGTCCCCACCAACCATCGGGTTGGAGCTCAAGTTCCAATTAAGAATGTTGGGGACACAGACCTGGAGCCCTTAGCAACATGGGCCATGTGGCACCTTGTAGGGCAAGCTGTACAGTCTGGACCTGCAATTATAACATAGAAGACTATATGTGCTCCTTTCCACTGGTGGAGAATTGTAGCTTTAAAGGGAAGGCACTACTTTGCTACCTAAACCCAGGATGTGGGCCCGGGGCATGAAGAGGCATCATGGAGTATGTCTCCCTAGGGCAGCATGGGTCACCCACAGGCTGTGTGTAGAAGTTTGGTGCTTCTGGGTACCCATACCT